TTATAGTGTTCATGGAATAACAGCCTGTCCTTCCACCAGCACCCCCCACCAAGCCCAACCTCTACTGCTGCTCCATCATCCCGAAACCTTCATTCCACAAAAGAATTGACCCCAAATTCAGTGGAGAGATGTCAGTGCAATCCTGGTATTTCCCACCTTGAGGAAAAAGGAGTAATTGGCTCACCAAGTTTTCAGGAGCACCTGAGTGACTTAGGCCCATTAGCTCCCACATCGTGACCTGTGGGAGCTTCAGTCACGTTGGTGTGATAATCATTTAAGAAACTAAACTATAACCAGAGTGAGAAGAGATCACTAAGTTAGGAATTGTTCAAAGCCACTGGCGTAGGTTTTCTTTCCCCTGCCACGATGCAGATGTTAGCAGCACGTCTGGGAAGCTCAGGAGCTCTCTGTGGGGTCAGTATGTATACAGGTTCAGCCCACACTGTCTGATCTCAGGAGTTTGACGTTAATGTTCATCCAGAAAGAGGTAAATTTTTGTGGGAGTGCAGCAGCAGATCCCACTGTGCCAAAATTAATATCCAAACTATGGAGAGGGTCCTGCAGCACACTGGGGGGACACTGGGGCAGCAGTGCCAGGGTGAAGGGGCTCAGCTCTGGCTCATCCCAGCTGCGGAGGTCGCTGGAAGGAGCCACTGCCTCCAGGAGCTCAAGGGTACTCGTGTGTGCAGATGATTCCCATCACCCAGGGGAGCCCAGACCTGCTGCTTCGAGCCTCACGGGGCCACTGCAGAGAGCATGGGCAGCACTGAAGGTAAAAGTGAAGGGGTTTAACCACCAACCAAATAGGTGGTTAAAATGGTGAGCAAAAATTAATCTAAAGCGACCTGAGTGTGTCCCTGCCCCGTGGCAAGGGATCAGCAGTGATCTGCACCGTGGGCAGACAGAAGATGTGGGTATAAGCAAGATTTAAAGTATGGGCAGCCAGGCACATCGTCTTGCTCTTAGTCTTGAGATGATGATGATGATGACAAGAGTGGAATATCCATAGATACCTATGGATATCTATATTTAAAGCCTCATTAAAATGGAATTGAGTGGAACCTTTTTGTTGAGGAGTTGGGAGCAGACAAGTCTTCCCTCTGCCACATCTCCCTAGCACTGACCCACATTGTCAGGGTGCTGCTGCCATCACCAGTGCTTTTCCTGGTCTTGAGAGCCCACAGAAAGCTGATTTAGCAATTACATTGGCAGAATTGTTGGAAAACTGGAGGTCATCAGTACGTTTCTTTTTTAAAGGGTCTCCCCCACAACCTCCTAGCTGAGGAGCTGCAGGTTTGAACCACAGGTGGTGGTTGTTGTGCTGAGATGGACAAACCCCAGCTCAGCTGCTCCTCAGAACTAGCTCCTTAGTTTGGTGATGGGTAGGAACCAGCCCCAAACCCCTTTTCTTTCATGTCTACATGCTGTTTGCTGAACTGCACTTTTTGTTTAAAGGAAAACTTCAGGGGTCCCATTCCCACCGTATGATCACTATTTTGGTGATTACGTGAGCAGTTGATTAAAGTGGAGAGCAGAAATTAATCTAAAGCGACCTGAGTCTCTCCCTGCCCTGTGGCAGGGGGTCAGCAGTGATCTGCACCGTGGGCAGACAGACTGAGCACTGCACCCACAGGGCCCTGGCACCCTCTGGTGCAGGGCACAGCTGTGCCCATCCCTGGGGGAGGCACCACAGCCCTTCAGCAGACAAATTGGCTCTTTTTCTGGCACGAGTTCAGCTCTGGCAGGGGATTGTATGGTTACTGCTGCAGTTTTCCTTTAAGGTGCTTTGGTGCCAAGCAAAGCATTGACCCAAAAACAGTTCGGCTGAGGTGCACAGAGCAGCCCTGAGGGGCATGTTGGTGACAACATGCTGTGATGTGTGGCCCTTCCCTGCCCTCCCTGCCCTCCCTCTGCCCCCACCCACCAAAAGCAAAGCAAACCCAAAACAAAGCTGTAAGAGGACAATGCCTGAGCAGCCAGGATCCAGCCTGCTCCAATCTGTATTAACATCCTAATGGGAAAGCTCTGCATGTATACATTTACTGCGCCCTGACAAGAGGGAATTAAATGTCAGAAGGATTTGTAGCATCTGTAATTGAATTGGTGCTGAGAAAAGCAAATCTTGAGGAAGAATAACATATTAGGATTAGCAAATAATGTGGCATTTTGTCAGTTCCTGCCATCTCGGCTGTTCCCTCTTCAGCAATAAAGTTGTGATTTCTGGTTTAATCAGAGATAGGAGGTGGGAATAGCTGGGGTGAATTGGAGACAGCATTTAAAGCAGATTCCGGTTGTTAAGGTCAAGTCTCTCCTCGGCACAAATTTGTGGAGCTATTCCTTGCTCCGTAGACCTGACAGTGTGCTAATTGCCACAGGAATAGCGAGGACAGGAGGCACAGGGGCTGTGTGCCGGGAGCGGCGCTGGAGCCGCAGCTTTGCCACACTGGCAGGGACAGCTCTTGGCATTGCCTCGTGCAGGGTTTGATCGGGTGCTGGAGGAAGGAGATGCTGCAGGAGGATGTTGTAGGCAGTGTGGCAGCTTGAAGATGCATTTAGCAATGAGTATAACAGCATGATCTCGGGGCTGGCACAGTGCATGGGTCGTCTCTAGCAGAAATCATTAAGAAAAGTGATCCTGTGTGTCCCAGCAGATGAGCTCGTACCTGCCAAACTGTGCCGAGTGTAACTGCTGGCCAAGTTTTAGGCTGAGGTCCCTTCTCAGGGGAACCCTCTCCCCCTGCTCTCTGCGTGGTGCCAGTGGGTGGGAAGACGTGAGGGCGTCGGGCACAGTCCCTGTCTCTGCGGCGCTGGGTCCGTGTCATCGCCTGGAGGCTACTGCCGCCAGCACGAGCTCACCACGGCGTCTTTCCAGAACTTTAATTTATGGTGATGAAGAAAAATGCCTCTTGATGCAAAATCCTGCTGGAAGCACATTACAGAGCCGTAACTCAGCGTGCTTATGCCCCTCAGCTGTTCCAGATGTCAACAAGCCACTCATCCGCCCAGGCTGGGATGCTGCTGGCTGCGCCGGGCGCAGCCGAGCGGAACCGGGCGCAGGGTTTCTAGAAAGAATAAAATAAGGAAAAAATGGAGTGGAACGTGCCTAAAGCAGCTGCTCCAGCAGACGAGGCAGTTTGGTGGCTTTGCAGAGAGCAGGTTCACAGCGGCTGGATGAGCCAAGCTGGAGCAGCACTGGGAAGGCTGTGTCAGAGCAGGAGCTCCCAGGACGCCCAGGGTGGCTGATGTTCCTCCAGCTGCTGCCCTGGGCACCAGCAGAGCCCGTGCTGGGTGAGGGGCTCAGCTTGGCACCTTGTGGCAGGTCTGTGGGCACCTTCCCATCGGCGTACAGACACAGCCACTCACCAGAGCAGCAGATGCAGGGAAGTGATCACGGCGTGGTCTGTTCCCACTGGAGGTGAGACAGAAGATCCCCTTTGCTGTGCTTTGGGATCCCTTGGCATTCTCTCACCTCAGTGCCATGGCTTGGGATTCAGGGATGTGGCACTAAGGGTTTTGGTTTTTAGGGGAGTCTTCTTTGGCTGCAGATTTTAGCTCATCAGCCAAGCTGCTGGAAGAGGTCCCAGCTCTGCGCTGCCCCGGCCCAGTGACCCCTGCCCACGCCGGAGGTCCTGCTCTTGGAGGCTGCTCGAAGGGGCTGTTTTTCCTAAATTGTTTTAATTAAAAGGCGCTTTATGGTGGTCTCGGTCCCAAGTTATTTACTTGGGTCCCTCAGTCCTTAATCTTGGAGCAGAATTGGAAATATCGATGGATCGCGTAAATCCCAGCTGCTTCTCGAGAGCTTTGTATCAGGTCTCGGCTCAAAAGAGCCCCATTACCTTTAGCTGTCACGGATCCGTACGCTTGATCGATAAACTTCAAATATTATTAGAGGTGGAGGCTTCAGAGATTTGCTCTGTTCTTTGGAGGGAGACGGAGATAAATCTTTCTTAAAAATTGACTTGCATTTGCTCTCTCAGTCGTCCTGGCAAAACGCATTTCTCCGAGGTGTCCAGGCAGGGCAGATTTATGGGCCATGTGCTTCTTGTAGTGAAAGATTTAAATGGTAAATCCTTCACATATGACTTCACAAATCATGTAAAGTTAAAAGATTTTTACCGTTTCTGTTGCTGCTGTGCTTAAATTGTAAGGTATGGCCAGTAAATCATTTTAATGGAGGTGTCGCGCTTGACTCGCTGAAAAAAAGAGACAATGGTTTAGCTTCTATTCCAAAATGTTAATGTATTAATCAGCGGGAGAATAATTGTTTTTTACTGCATTATAAATCTCGGTTGCCATTAGGATTGCAGCAAGGGTTGATGTAGCTGCGTTCTTAAATTAAAATTGTTTACACTGCTATACATTCATTTTACATGGCCATAGCTCATCCGGGGTTCATTCCGGAGCTGCTCCTCCGCCACATCAGTCATCCCTCTGCGGGGACGGCGTCCCGCGGGAGAGGCGCTGCCGAGAGGAGACTAATTGCGTGGCGAGGAGCTAAATAAACGCAGCAAAGCGGTCGGAGGCCCCGCCCAGCTCCCGCTCGCTGCTCCGGTCCAGGTCAGGCGTGTTGTGTCCTCGTGGGCTGCACCGAGCGGCAGAGCGGGTGGCTAATGGTGAAACCCAGTGGAGCTGGGGCAGAGAATGGTCGTAAATGCTTTTTCCATGCTGGGTGGGTTGGGTTTTTTGCAAAGAGTGTTTTGGGCTGACGTTGAAATGTTTTCAGCGGGGCACTCGTTAATGACGTTTCTCAGAGCTAACGATTAACATTCCCACATTGCGCCCCATCCCCTGAGGAGGCTGAAATTTGGAGAGCATTGTAGGGCAATTTCCCAAAGTAGGTCCCCACCAGTGACTCCACCTGCCCTCCCTCCCCTCTCCCACCCGTCTCCCACGTGCGTAGTTGTAGTGCTGCTGCTTTTAGCGGAAAACACCTCACGAGTTGAGCCGCCAGATCAGTTCGGCTCCGGACAAAGTTCCTCTGCCTGAACTCATCTGTCTAGTTAGCTCTGTGCTTCACCCCTGCTCCTCTGGAGAGCCCGAGGGAGGCTCTTCCCGTCCCGAGAGAGCTGCAGCCAGACCCTGCCGAGAGCATCGTAGTAAGTCCCCAATTCTTATTCCTCTTCTGATCTCAACAGATTCTCGCGCAGGTGAGGAAGGGGCGATACGGAGCGTGGACCATGCCGTGGTCGGCGGCGTCGTGGCCGTCGTCGTCTTTGCGATGCTTTGCCTGCTCATCATTTTAGGGCGATATTTTGCCAGACATAAAGGTAAGACGAAGGCTGAAATTGGAGGGTGAGAGGCCGTGGCACGTGTGTCCCCTTGCTCGCGGTGCTGTCCTGTCTGACGTGACAGACCCTCACTTTCTCTCCCAGTGGTGTTTCTGTTTCCTTTGTCGATCGGTCCCTCAGTGCTGTGCTGAGACCCCCAAGGAGTCACAGCCTCCACTTCCCTTGCAGGTACATACTTCACCCACGAAGCCAAAGGAGCAGATGATGCGGCCGACGCAGACACAGCCATCATCAACGCAGAGGGAGGACAAAACAACTCCGAGGAAAAGAAAGAGTACTTCATCTAGAGCAGCCTTGGTTCCCATGAGGTGTCCAACCGTGGACGGTTACTACTGGCCCTATTTAAACGCTACAGAGACAGTGATCTTGGAAGTTGCAACCAGCTTGTGTCTTTTTTTTTTTAAGGAAAAAAAAAAGCGAATGGGTGGAGAGCGGAGAGGCCGGGAGGGTCCGGGATTCGCTGTGTAAAAATATTCCTCGTAAAGTACACTCTGCTGTTCGACACCTCAGTTCGTTTGGGTTTTCTTTTTTTGGCCAAGTCCAGCTTGGATTTAGTTTAGTGAAGTCATTTGCAGAAGATTCTGTGCCTTGTTTAATTTCTGTTCGTTCGGGTCGGGGGGAGGCTGGGAAGAAGAGGGGCTTCTGTGCGTTAGTTCCCTTCGGGTTTCTGTGGCTCTTCGTTTCCCCTTTCCTGTTTCTGGAGTTGCCAGCTGGGACCCCGTGGAGTAGGTGCGTTTCTCTGAAGGTGTTTCCCCTTTTTTCTCTTCACCGGTTTCCGTTCAGAACTCGAGCTCATCGGAGGAGAACCAGCACATTTTAGACGCGTAGTTTGCAGTTCAGTGTGCCCATGTCCCGTTCCCTGTCGCCGTCGGGGCTCGGATAACACCCCGGGCTCACCTTCGTGGCTGTTTCAGGTGCTTTCAATGGTGGTGGCCGGAGATGAGCTGCAGCTCGGCAGAGGCTCCGCGGGGACGCGGGTTGGGCTCCTTGCTGGGCAGGCAGAGCCCTCCTGGGGCGGGGGACTGAGCCCCCTCTCCTCGTCCTGTCCCCGCTTGGGGCTTGGGGGAAAGCTGCTCCGGCCTGGAGAGCAAAACTGCCTTGTTTCCTACCTGCTCAGTACAACGTGGGGATTCGCATTGAAACGAGCGTGCTAAGGACCTCTAAAGCCATAGGTGCACAGGAGACTGTGGCTCAGTCAGAATCATAAGCGACAGGCAGCAAACCGCAGCGGGAGGACGGTGTAAAGCTAGATATGCTGACTTTTGTTTGGTGAGTAATCTTGGATTTCGGGCGGTGCTTTTCTTATTGTTTACGTGGCAAATGTATCTGATTTATTTAAGGGAAGCAATTAACTTTAGCGTCAGGTTTGGGTTTTTTTAGGGGGTTTGTGTGGGCATTTCTGTGCGTTTGTTTTCCAATCGTCGTTTCTGGCAGCACCATCCCAGCGCGGATGGTTCCTGGGGTGCCTGGCGCCGCGGGCGAGCCGCGCGGGGCAGCGCTCCGCCTCTCCCTCCTCACGGGCAGATCCTCTCCAAACAGCCTTTTCCGAGCAGGTTCTGCCGAGCGCCGCTCGTTTCTGAGCCCTCAGCACCATTGCCACCCCCCGGGTGAGAAGCAGCCGGGCGAGCCGGACGGGACACCCTGGCCTTGAGCAGCCCATCCTTGTTTGGAAGTGTACCGTAGTGCAGTGTTACCGATGTAACTTTGACTTACAATGTTGACATGTCTCAGGTTCATGTGTTTGATTGGTGTTTTCCGTCTCAGGTAGATTGCAAAATTTCGGCCCCACGCATTGGAAAAATAAAAAAAAACCCACATAAAAACAGGAGAAAAAACAGGAAATTATGAATTTTAGTTGTATATCGGTTTATGTATTTTTTCTTCAGTATACAGTGCACTGTTGAAATGTATTGTTGAGTATTACTTTGTACAGCTTTAGGTCATTAGGATTTCAAAGCGTGAAGAAAGAACAACCTTGTTTAAAGGAGGATCACAAATGAAGGACGCGGAACTGATGATAAACAACCTTGTTCTTTATTTACCCGGCCTTTTTAGTTTGTCCCCTTAGGCCAGTTCTGTTTTAAGGTGTCCATGGAAGATGTTACAGTGTAAGAAAATACATATCCATCTGTTCCCATTCACATTTTGTATTGGTTCATGTATCCCATTTTTACAAAGGAAAAGAAGTACTATAAAATATCTGTCTTCTTAATAAAAAAAGATTAATGTTACAAAAACAGGTCTCGTTCTGCACTTTCTCCCTGGCTGTTAGAGAGACCACCAGTGTGGGCAGAGGGGGCTGAGCCCAGGCAGGTGCCACCGAGTGCTGCCTGGGGCAAACCGAGTTAAACCTGAGGCACTGAAGCTGCATTAAATATAGAGCAGATTTCACAAGTTTCTTGTCTATAATTGATAAACTGTTTTATTTTGGGAGCAGTTACTTGGAGGAGCTTGATCTGTCGCTGATGTTCCAGCCTCCCTGAGCTGGGGTAGCTCGTGAGCGTTGAACAGCAGGCAAATACGTAAGTCCTGCCGTGGAAGGTGAATGTGGGATACACAACCTCCTTTGCCCTGTCCCCGTCTCCCAGCCAGTGTGCCGATTTTCCTGTTACCTTGGAACACTTGGGATTGCCAAACCATGGCAGGTGTGTGTTTGCCTCCAGGCACCGAGCTCCGGTGGCGAGTGCTGCTGGGCAGGATCCCTTTGCTCCGCTCGCCGCGGTGGCAGCAGCGTGTGCTCCTCCTCAGCATTCCCCCAAACCAGGCTGCAAGGCAGCTGCGGCGCTGAAATTAGAAGCATCAATCTTTTATATTTTGGACAAAGAAGGAAGAGAGAGACAATTGCTTCCCACTGAGATCATACCGAGAGATCTCTGCCGCAAGGACCGTGCGTAAGCCACGCACTCAGTGCTGGAGGAGCTGCAGGACCAGGGGGTTGTGCTGGAGGCAGCAGCTCCAGGGCTGATGTCCAGTTCCCTCGAGCACATGGTCGTGGCAGAAATAACGCTATTCTGTGAGAAATGATGACACTTGAGGGAAAAGCTGTAGGGCAAAGCTGGAAAAGCAGCTCTTCTTTTCTCACCCAGAGAAACGAGCAGAGTTGGCTTTGCTGGTTTCCATGGCTATTGCAATTATCTTGATGCAGAAGAGGTTTGAGGCTCACAGGCCCCTGATGCTGCCTCGTGGTGCTTTTCTCCTCCTTGAGCCAGTGCTAATTGCGTCTCGCACTTGTGGTGTCTGTAATTTATCCTATCAGGGGTCCACATCTTTCAAGGTTTAAAGGTTATTTAGTGGTGCATTTCTTCCCATTTCCCACGTGGATCTAAACACTCTGGTCCTTCACTTTCTTGGTCCTGCATAGGCATTACAAATATGTGACAAGAAACTGTACCTGTAGCATGCAGGAGCAGTTTCTTGATGAAACCCTTTGCAGTAACTTTTAAGACACCAAGACACCAAGATACGGATTTGAAAAGCTGTAAAGGTAACACTGAGCAGTGAGACTTAGTGAGTCCCAAATCCCAAATGTCTAAGTGCAGGAAATGCTGCCCCAGGTGTGACCCCCTGGCTGCTGAGCCTGTTCAGTTACCCAGAACTGAGGACTCTGCTGGGTTTTATGAAAATGAAGGCAATGATCGTTGCTTCAAATGAGAATGGAGCCTTTGCCCTGAACATAACATTTTTGCAAGCTGCAGAAGTCATTTGGTCCTAATTGCACAATTATTTTATTGGGTGAGTAATACAATGCTTAATTTTCTTCTTTTTTAAACCAAATACAGGGAGGAATTATTTTATCTGAGTCTGACCCGTGCAATTACAGCCTCTGCTGCCAGGCTGAGGTTGCCATAAAGCTCATGGCACATGAAGCAATTAGCAATAAATGACACTGTAACTCACCTCAGGTAACGTGTACCTGCTCCTGCTCTGGGTGATTGAAACACGCGGCGCAGGCCGAGGCGCGAGCGCGGCTGGAGCATCGATCCGCGCCGGCCAGTCAGTTCTCATCAGAGGGTCCTGACAAGGGGCTAATAGCTTTTTCTGAGGATCCAATCCCATTTTCCAGCAGCGGCGGGTGCTGTGCCGCCTGGGATAACATCTGCTCCGGGCGGCATCGATCGGGCAGGGGCAGCGTGTCCCCCGGTGCCGGTCCCGACAGCTTCAGCTGATGTGCAATTTCAGCAGAGGGAAAAACCCAAATTCCACCTGAACCCCAACACTTGGGCTTACAATTTACATCTGAATTAGTACAACCAGGGAGGGCATTTCAGTCTGACGCCACCGAAACTTTGTGCTGGCCTTGTCCTGTTTCCAGAGCCAGCTGTGGAGGTGATCCCTGCTGCTCCTTGAAGGTCTCACGGGTGGTGAGCAGGGTTGGGGCTGAGCAGGGGTCGTGGGGAGGTGCAGGGAGGGTGGTTGTGCAGACAGGCAGAGCTCTGCGTGCCCTGCACTCAGCCTGCACACTGCTGAGCTCCTTGGTCAGCTTCAGTTAAATAAACAGACCTGGGTAAATAAACAGCTTTTAGGAGGAAAATAAACTTTAGGTGAATTTACAAATTTTAGTGCAGAAAGAGCTGGAGTTAAACAAGCACACTCTATTGAAGTAACAGATCAAAGGCAGCTGAGGGCCAGCTGTGCTCTGGAGCCTGCGAGAAGCAGGATGAGAGCTCAGCAGTCCCTTCTGCCCCAGGCTCTCCTGCAGAGAGACCCCTCAGAGCTGCTGTGATCCGGGACATCAGCAGCTCCTGCAGCCCTTCCGCTGCCAGAGGGATGCTAAGCAGATGGACCCACACCTGGGCCCTGTAGGATGTCTCTCCATCCTGTGTCAGGTCACCCCTCTGGGCTCGTCCTCTCCTTGCTCAGTCACCCGGGAGGGGATGGACTGACAGAGCCCCACACTGTGCTCGGAAGGACTTGGTGCCTCACACCGAGATGCAGAGCTCTCCGTCCGTCCTCCCTGTCAGCCCAGGCCGAGCTGCATTCATATCAGCTCTAACCCGTGTGCCTTAGCCTATCTGCCCACGGATGTGTTCTCCTGCTCCGGTTCCTTATCCTGTTCTGCAGGATAGCAGCAGTCCTGTAAGTCACAGCCCTGGAGTGATGTGGGCAGCATAGGAATAATGCACACAGATGGAACAGGGATGCAGAATACAGATAGGAAGAGTATGGAGAGATGCCATTCTGCAGTCCCTTGGCTCTACGTTCCAAGGTGAGCAAGGTCTGGGCACTGGGCAGCCCAAACGTGGTGTGGGGGACACTCTGCCCTGGGTTAAGGATCTGTCACAGCAGTGCCACCCTCCCGGGAGCCCTCGTGGCTCCCTCCTTGCTGCAACAAGCAGGGTGAGCGGTGCCAGCGTCACCTCGCCCGCTGGAGTGCACCGGGAGCAGGCACGCACGGAGCGCGAGCAGGAGATGTGAAGGCTGCCAGGAGTAAAGGGAATATTTGATCAGACGCCCTCCTCTCTCCTCTGTTCTCCACTCTCAGCCTCCCTCGGGGCCAGCACCTCGCTGCCTCCGAGCACCACAGCTGCGACAGGTTGGCAGCAGCTCCTCAAAACGGGACCTGCACAGGAATCTCAATGAGTTGGAGAAGGTAATCTCCAGCCTCAACTCTCCAAGTTCTTTTCTTCCCCTGCTCCTTTGGCCCCTGCTCTGTTCCACTTCCTCTCTTCTGTTTCCCATGCCTGTGGTCAGGTTTCCATTCCCCGTTCCTGATCCCTGTGGCTGTTGCCAG